CGCCACAGGAGGACCCGAGAGAATAATTTGCAGCACTTTGTACAGACCCGTAATAAGATACACTTAATAGATGACTGCCCGGGGCTTTGTCCCCCTTTTCCTTGTATATTTTCATATCAAAGGAAAAAAAATTCCTTCGAACCTCAAAATAAACCTATGTTTCGTGATGTAACGTATTTCGTCTGGTTAATTTTTGGGAGTGAATTTTTTTTGACCTGGCTTTGCGCAGAATGTTTTTGATATGTGCTTTAGGATTAGCTTTGCATAGATTATTTCACATGCTTCAGCGGCCGTCTTTTCAATTGAAACATCGCCAAATCCTGTCAGATTATTCCAAAGCTGATGATCTTATCAACCTAGCTGAGTAGCGACAGCACGGTTTTGTGTCGTGGGATAATCATGCGAAGACGTGCTACAACATTCACGTAGAGAAATGTGTTCAAATACTAACGTTAACGTTTGAAATCACCCAAGAAGATGGACTTGAAATTGTCTGTACGCGATTATATGGAATAGATGTGTCATTCAGTTTTCTTGAAACAACTTCAATAGCCCAATAACACTGGTTATGGAGTTTAATATTATGCAGTGTTTTACAGCAATAGTGTTTGTAGTCTCCCTCCACCATGCTTTCGAAATTTAATTTTTCATATTGATGTTTCAAAGAAAACAGAGAGCAAAACATTCACCAATAAACGATGAAGCGTTCAATAATCTTAACAGTAACAGAAATGCAAATATGGTAATAGTTTAATATAATAATGATAAATATTGAGGAATCCGCAGAATTGTACTTATGTTGATAACAAGATGTAACCTTTGCGGAAATATTACATTACCAAGTTAGATGTCACTTACACGTTTGATACGATTTTCCGATTCAGATATACACGGGGAATCTTGCATCGTTTCAAAAACACGGTATTTTCTTCAGCCCACACCGCGTGGTGTACTAGTACCTGATATCTTGTCGGTGCTTGTTCCGCGATGTCGTGTGAACATGGTTCAGCACCAAGGACAGTGCCATAGGGAGTCCCATATATATACAGTCAGATTCGTACCCTCTTACAGTGAGTTACACCACGGCGTTCTCATCACTGGACGGGGTTTGAGCAATACCATAGAAAGTTGTGCTCTCCAAGCAGAGGTTTAGACCTAGGCTTATATTTTTCACGTGTTTTGGGGCGTATTTATTGGGCTATCTTTTTGTACTGGTATCTTCTGGGTACCGTATTATTGGAAATTGTCCTGGCAATGATACTGTTTACGTTTTGCCAATTTGAGTCTGTCTATGCCAATTTGATGCTGTCTTGTAGCCACAAAAAGATCTACTTGGAGATGAGAAATTCGGTCGGTGCCGGAGGACTGGTTATGTCAGGCTATTGATGAGACGGGTACTTAACGCTGAGGTCACATTTCCAAACCGGGGCCCGGCCGGGCTGTTTGGATAAACGAAAAATGAAGAATTCCTACAAAGATGTTGCTCATTATGAGTTTTTAAAACTTTTTTTTTGTGTTAAATTGTCTTTAAGTACCATGCTGTTCGTTCCTAATAGCTCAACTGCCCGGCCGGGCCCCGGTTTGGAAATGTGACCTCAGCATTAGACACGGTTTTTGTGTGGACTATGCGCGGTACAGTACCACTCAACATGGCGGCTGTAAGTGGTGAAGTCGACATAGAAATTACAAGAAGTCTTGCGAACCATGGACAACAATGTTGTACTGTCTAACATGGCAAATTTTCTGGTTCACATCCCTGGTCACTTTCTACCAGCGCTCTTAAAAAGGAATTGTAATCATGGAATAGAATACTTAAATCGCTTCCTCTCTCTCTCTCTTTCTCTCTCTCTCTCTGACTCTCTCTCTCGCTCTCGTCGCTTTGTTTTATGCAGATCTTAGAAAATGTAAACATCGCGTCTTAAAGTTAAACGTAAAAACACCGAGAATAGTTGCAGTTTATTAGTTTGATTCTGAAGTAAGATGAAAATCAAGCCAAGTTTTTACGCGATAGAACGCAGAGCTACCGATAGATGTTACTGTGTTTCTCCTTGCCCTTACAAAACTTGTCCTTCAGCCATGAATACGCCGCCTGCATTTACTTAAAACTCCGCGGCGTTTAGTTTTGTAAAGCAGGCCCATTTTCCCTTCTTTAGAGCGCCTTTCTCCTGCTCGGTTGCTAGGATGGGAACAATTTCAAATCTGACCTGCGCGACCCGATCCTTTGAAGCCAAATTTCGGGTGATTACTGGGTGTATAAACTCTTTGACGACTCTTTTGTGGGAGCCGATTTCCATAGCTGGACCTCCCCGAGTGAAATTGTGTCCAGGCCTGTTATTAGGTTGGGTTTGTACAGGTTTGGTAATAATAAAGCGCTCGGTGCAGGTGCTTAGTGACTCCGGGTAATTTTTCATTCCATATTCGGCCCGTGAAACGCTCAGACTGTGCTTTACGTGTGTGAATACAAGCTGTGTTGTTTTCCTGCGTTTTAAAAATACAGGTACGTTGGAATGAATCCATAACGTTTTAATTGGATTTTATGGAAAGAGAAAAAAGGACTCGTCGGATTCTTTTGTTGTTATTATTTGGTAAACTGGCGTGATAGCTGAGGATTATCCATCAATAGCTAGATTTGCGGATGTTTTGTGTTGTGATGTGGTTGTGCGGTAGTGTTACTATGCATAGACCAGTGTTGTATACTTCTGCATGTAACTCACAAAAACGCTATACTTTCCTAATATTTTGCGTATTTGGGGGAAAATCCTCGTTTTATCAATGTATATAGATTTGCTTCCTTTTTGGGGTGGGGTGGAGGATGTGTTTTGGTGGAAAAACATGATAACATACTAGTAACTGTTTTCTATTGCATGCTTTCTACCAAACACCGTATGTTTAGACTTTGACTTACAGGCGACTAGTGGGCAATTTGGGGCATGATATTTTGCCTGTTGTACCGCCTTGAAAACTTTCATCAGTGCAGGTGTATGAATAGAATATCAATCTGTAAACATTCACAAACAAACTCACGTGCAAATGTTAACGGTTACCCGCAGATTTAAGAAATTAAATGAAATTCTGAAAATAATGATGGAAGTTTAAGGATTACAGGCAAACTATTTGAAATCTTTCTCATGGAATAGAAAAAGAACTAAACTCAGACATAATTCAAAATCTTTATAATCTATTGAACGTAAGGCATCTAAACCATTTCTCATAAGATAGGAAGATTTAATTTTCTCTAGTGCCTTGTAGGGATTGTGTATACATTGTACATATTTATTACTTGCCGTTCTTTGTTTGTGTTGTAGTCTATTATTTTACCCAGACGATTGAGCACGTCGGTTTTGTTAAGAGAAGTGGACCATATTGTACCTTTATTCCCCCGTCTGTTTTCAAAGTCAGATGTTGACCTGGGGGTCATGGATGAAAGGCCCAGCTGTAACCTCTGCCGCGTGCCGAAACCACGCCCCCTTCCCTCCCCTCAAATTACTGCAGCCCCGGATACAACCTTTACCGAACAGTCGTGTAGTGAATTTTGGGTAGCCTCTACCAGGCTTGGGGAGGCGGCTGGAAAGAGTAGAAATCGGCCAAATAGAGAGATAAGCATGCCAAGGGAGTTTGTCCGTTGGGGTGCGGCGAACTGTTCTCTCAACGGACAAACTCCCTTGGCATGCTTATCCCTCTATTTGGCCGATTTCTACTCTTCCCAGCCGCCTCCCCAAGCCTGGTATAGGCTAAATTTTGGGCGTTTTTGTGAGTACTTTGATAGGTCCCTGTCGCGTGTACGCTGTCGTATGTATGGCAGGGCTACGACTGAAAATCGGGGGCATTGCGGCTTTGTGTCGTACAACTGATGATATTCTTGTGGCATTCGCGAAAGTCTTGGAAAAAGATCTCATGTTCTTACGACCGCGGGTGTAGTTTGCAAACTTGTTGACATCAAACTGTACTCCTTCAATCGGTTGCCAAATGTCTTTTGCTATTGGACTGCGTGTTTCGGAATGAACGTCTGTCTAAAACAGTAATCTCCAAGTCAGATGTAAGGTTCCGTGTTAGACTCAGAAATTAAGCGTGTTTTATGACATGTAGAAGTGCATCTTTTTAACATTCACATTCTTTTAGCTATGGAAAGGCCACAAAAATACGAGTAAAACACTGCTTGGAGACCTAACTTACTAAACAGGCCCAAGTGTCCTGTCAGAAGACATCTAGTTAGGCAAAATAAATGTCCCTGTGTCATGCCTGGCTGACTCTACACACAGAGATGACAACAAGTACAGTAGCAATGCATCCTGGGACAAAAGAAGGGGATGTGCTCCGCATTTAAAGATGGCGCCGCGGAGAGAAAATCAGACAGACTTCTTGTCTGTCAAAAATATATGAGCGTCCGCAAAGTCTGACTCCAGGGCACTGCCCCGCATTTTCATGGGAATCCTTTCTTTTCCCGGTTCAAAGGCCTGAAAAGGGGTCCTTTCTTCCTTTAGAACGTCCTTTCGCCTAGAGGGTTGAATAGAGCCCTTTCAAGAGACTTTCTTGTTGACGCGCGGATACAATTCAATACTGATTTCTGGCTCTTCGCACGAAAAGGCTTGGGGTACTCACTATTCAGCGCACCCACCAACGCAGAGCCTCTTTAGCAAGCCCGTATTTTGCCTGCTACGATGCACAATAATAAATGATTCTCGCTCGATGCCTCTCTCTTTTGTCCCTGCATCAAGCCGTTCCTTTTGAAGAGGTTTTCAGACGAAACAAAAGGTACAAACTGTTGTATGTCCGAACGCGAAGCCATTAAGTAAATGGAAATCAATCCCTCTCCTTGACGGGCCTATAGAGTAAGGCCAGTCTGGCTTTGTGTGCTGGAAATCTGTAGGGAAATTCATTGTATTAAAGGACCTGCACCACACACTAGCTCTGATGAATAGTGCCTAAGCTTTTTGTCGCTACCTTTACAATTTGAGACAAAAACGGGTTATTGAAAAAGAATGCCCAGTTTTTGTTGGAAGAGCGCACACAAAAGCTCATGTCGCATTGTGCCAAGAGCCATCTGCCTCCCCAACAATACGGCCAAATTATCCTCTCTGTCTTTACTTCACAAAGCAGCCCTATTTTATTATTGCTCGTACGGTGCATACGATTGAAATTACTAGGGGGTTTTTGTTCGGCATCATAGTTATTACTCTGTAGTTGTGGAGACGGGCTGTCTCCGCTCTTTGTGTACTAGTCCTTTTTGGAGGAAGCTTGAGAAGAAATAGGCGTAAAAGGCAACCTTTCAACCAGAGTGGGGGAACGCTTTCAAGATGCTGCGGGCCGTACACAAAACCTTGTCGGCGCCGAGCGGGCTGAGTTTGCCAGGCGGGAGGCAGGGCGGTGTGCGCGGGGGAGGGTCCGTTCGGCAGGCCGGTAGCTCCAGGTGAACGTAAGTACGCCGTTCCTACTGCAGGTAGCGCTGATTTACCTTAAGACGTACGCGGTACGCCTGCTCATGCGTCCTGAAGGTTTGAGGTACGTGAGTGCGCTGTGCAGGGGGCGCAGGGCAGCGGCCTGCGTGCCAACAAGACTCTATCTTCGCGGTAATTACCGATCATGATGTTGACTGGTATATAGACCCGGCCGGTGGGCGTTGTTTATGCATGTTGCAGTGCTGTAGGAGTGTGGGAGATAGCGGGAACTGTAGATACGTGTGCGGGAACGAACAGGGCGCTAAGCCGTAACAGTTTTAAGACAGACCCTGTTAAACTAAGAAAGATTGTTGGCGACCCTACCGATAATAACATATGCGGATGTTTTTGCAAAGAATTATTAATACAACGTATACGCCGTTTCCTCTGTGGTACTAGTTGTATTCCGGACATGAGCTACGAATTCCCAGTTTTCCCATCAAAGCTCCCGGGACCGCCACAGAGGCACACAGACAGCGAGGCCGTTTTTGTTTTCCATGAAAAGGTCCTCGACCGAAAAACAAGATTGTCTGCCGAATGAAAGGACATTAATGGCGGATGTGTTGCTATGGAGTGACGTCAAACTTTGGGAAAAGATAAATATAGGGAGCAGCATGGCATGACGGGAAGGCGATTTTTGATCGAGCGGTTAGGCAGATGGTTTTTGCAACGCTGTTCCTGTCAGTGTTGAAGTTTGACTCCGCCTAACTACTTATGTTTAATTCTATCTATAACGACACAACGTGATAGCTCTGTTGTGTAGGCATTATTGACAAGAACAGTTAACCCATCCTTGGAAGGTGGTTTTGTCTACGATCCCGAGGTTTTGGCTTCGGCGTATTTTTTTGACGTTTTTTATAGGGCTCTCTTTTTTGCAAGGGGAGTTGGATACTGACTAGTCAATTTGATACTGTATAGCAGCCACAAAAAATACCTGCTTGGAGATGAATTTTTGTCAGTAACAGCTTTGACCAATGAAAATGTTTCCGGCTGGTGTCTCAAGCAGCTGTCACTCACTGATGACGTCACGTTATGTCAGCTGATGTCTAAGGGTATTTAAGGTCGAGATCGTTTTTTTCTAACTAACTGGCTTCTCTCATAGACCTTATTATCTTGTCGTAATAAACGTTTGGAAATAGTGGAAAGAACTTGTAAAATCCATGCTAAAATGTTTAGATATTTGCACTCAGAACGTGTGCTTCTCGATTCGGTAAACAATTCGTCCTTGAGCGACATCCCAAGGTCATGATGAACATATGTGCGTTTGCTACCTACATGTTCTGGGTCAACAAGTGTCAAAGGTCATGACAGGACGTCCATCAAACCGCACGTGTGCAGAGAACCATTTACTGCAGTTTGTAAGAAGTTCAGTAGGCGGCGCGCATGTACTGCACTGCTGTAACAGACTGCCCTACCGAACTTAGTTATAAGTGCTAAGCTACCTACCAGTTGCGCTATAATTTCGTTCTTTATATTCAGCCCCTTTTCTTTGATAGAATTGGTTGTTAAAGGTTTCCTCTATAGTACGTAATGCCAGCTTTATCAACCATTTGTTATGATTTTTACATTGGTGATGTTTTTGTCTGAAGTTAAGTTGTTCCGCATTTTGCCATTACCTTGGTGATTGTTGCAGGAGTGTACAGTCAATATTTCAGTTATATTGATCAACCGTAATACAGATTCAACACTTTCATTCGCCATGAGTCTTTCTCCAAAATTTTCATTGACATAAAATCCACAGCGCTTGGCATTTGTAAATTGTTAATTCAACTTACTTTGTGTAAGGAAAATTACCTTTTTTTATCGTCCTAATGTTACATAATGTAGCTAATATCCAATATGCATTTCATTGTGTACTAGTATATTATCATTGTATTGTTTAGGACAAATGTATCTTTTGTTACGTACTAACCCCCCGGTACGGAAGTATTGTTTTGGGTGGCGATGCTGTGGGTTTGTGTGTATGTGCGGACAGAGTAGGTTGACAGCACATGGGTGGGGGAAATTGACAGGCAGAATGACTGGAGGTCAAAAAGTCAGACACGGACAATGGGGGTTAATTCGAAGGACATGAAAACTTATACTACCCAGAAGTCTAAAATGTCTGATTCTGGAATCTCTGAGTTTTTCTTTTCTTTGAGTTTCCATAATACGGGTACCGGTACAGAGATCACACTTTTAGGCATTTTGATCCATGCTTCCATAATCCGCTAGGGTTAGGTATGAGTTAGGCAAATTTGAACACAACTGTGTAGTGACCAGTCTCTAACATTTCCCTAACTGCATTCTGTCAATGTACCAGTCTCGTCATACCTTTACGGCTGCTACAAGCACACACATATATCTATCGTTTCGTTTGCTTGTGTGCTGTTTATGCATAGTATTTGCCTTAGAACTTCATACTGGAACTTCAGACAAGACATAGTGAAAATATCGTTATGTTGTAGAATTCCTAGGTTTCTTTCGAGTAGTTAGGTTACTGCGAGCATTCGCACACAATAGTACCATACAGAGACTCCTAGTTTTCCTTCGCAGGTTTTAGCAGTGTACTGGGTACCGAAAATGTTTCTTGTTTATGCATGTGATATTACTCCAAATATAGATCTCTTGTTACCTTGTTGTGAGTATATCTTCTATACATTGTCCCTTTTATAGAACCGGCGCAGTATTTTGCATACACATGAGGACAAGGTTTTTCTTGTTTCTATCTCAAATTCTGTAAATAAAAAGACATTCGACTCTTCAAGGAGGTTATATAACCTCCTTGGTCTCTTCAAAAATCTCTCAAGTTGTTGCATGATTGCATGTTTAAATGTAGACTACATTTCTTATGTAAAACAAAACGGTTTACAAAGTTGTTATGTAATAATTGAACGGTGTGTATATGATGAGATATTCTAATGTTAGAAAAATGGAAGAATAGTTCAGTTTTGATGTAAACATATACCATTGAATCAGTAGAATATAAATATTTCCGAAAATAGTTTCATCAGGTTGGTAGAACATATGATATAGGGAAATATAAATAGCAATTTTGGGCCTGCATATAAGCATCACAGGTTGACATTGTTTTCGTTGTTTTGTTTGTGCCTTGTTTGTTTATCGTAAACGTCATTTTGCTTCGAATCGTCTGGATTTCTCTAATAAAAATTAGACTTTAAAAAATTGTGCTTGTAAAAAAAATCAGTTGCTTCGACAAACTAAGATATGACATTGTGTTATGTGTACGTACCTAGCTAGTAGTGTATTTTCCGTACCGTTAGAGAGCTTACTGTATAACCATTAGGAGTAAAGACGGGCCGTCCTATTTGAAAATGTCACGATCTCGGCAGGCCGTGCCGCCGTTTTACCGGTAATGGTCCCCTCCGCCGCCGGCACCACCGTGCCCCTACCTTCCCTCATTGGCCTCGTTTTTAAAAACCACCGGCAGAATCGTCAAATTGATTGCGAGTAAATATCCCCCGTCTCTCAGAAATTGCTTCCAAATAGCCTGCAGCCCATGCGGGTCTATATATTTCCCCCCTGACAGCTCTAATCTATTGGCGATACATTCGTTACTCCCAGGAATATTACAGACCAGATGAGCACTTTTGCTGGATAGTCGATTTGCCGGGATCGCTCGATGAGATAGATTTGTGAGGCGGCAGCGATGGAAATATTCCCCTCCATACATTTATATTCACCCCAAGGTCGCAAATATAAACGAACACTTTTTTTATACACATCATATTCTACCCTATTCCACCGAGAATACCGTCAATAAAAATCCACGCAGCTCGCGTTGCAAATAAGTATTAATGGTTTCTGTATTTACCGTCGTTCTGTTAGAATTAATGAGTTTTAAACACACCTATACTTGCACAGCAAGCGAAGGGAACATATCGGTAAACAAAGGATGGGCAGGAGGTTTAATGGTGACTTTGACATTGGGGATTGTGTCAGTGTGTGTGTGTACACGAGCACACACAATTGAACAAAATTTAATGAGACCGACGCTTTCGTATTAGCTAGGCGAACCAGAGATTTTGTTGGGTTGGAGCCACAAATGCACCGAACGAAATATGTCTACCTCTCCGCTCCCCGTCTAGAAATTTCACGGGAAAATGTAGAATATTTAGGGCACAAGTTGGTAGAATTATTTGTTGCATATTTTTAAGGACTAGAATAACACCGCCAGACAGCATTTTGTCTGATTTTTGCAAGTAATGCAATATTTAGATTTCTCCAAGTTAAGTGAATTTCAGCTATCTTGTAATATACAATGCACATATTTGTTCAAATACTATATCACTGTATCGGTAAGTATGGACTAGGAGACAGGAAATAGCTACAGCCACAAATACACGAATGGTACTGAACGAAGCAGTGCTAATGTTTCTAGTGTTTATTCACGAAAATTTGAAAACTAAATCCTGACAATTTAATATTTACCGAGAGGTCCAAACAAGATGTTCAAGCACTCTCTCGCTAGATTGTTAACAAATATGCGCTTTGTCAAAACATCATTTATGTCTTTAGCGGCTGTATATGACATGATATTTACATTCATAAAACATAAGAGCGTTCTAACACGTTGTTTAGTCTAGTCTACTATTGAAGGAAGGTAAGTGAAAGATAATGAATAGAATTAAAGGCCGTTCTAAAACGCAGCTTCTGAAGCACCAAACATGCATTTTGATCGAAAAACGTTGGTAATTGTTCGAAAAGTAAAACATATTCCCTTGGGAGATACAATATACGGAAGTCTGCATATCAAGTCCAAAACAACAGTTAGAATTCACTCAAGAAGAGATACGGCTAGATGCTAGTTACTGGACTCAATTTCAAGTCCATTTTTGTATTTCGTTGGTTTGTATTTTGTATTTCGTTTTAGACTCTGTATCTAGAGGAATGGTAAACAGAGAAATCTTTATTTGCTGAGAAGGAAGGTATCTGGGTCGTTTTCTGAATCAGTCTGTGTGGCTTTTCTTTTGTGTTT